CCTTTAATTTAAAATGCCAATATACATTGCAAAAGTTGTGTTCAGCGTTATGCCATTAATTTATACAGAACATGCAATACCTGGACTGAGGTCAATTGAAAAGTATACCGTAAACCATTCCTTTATCTCCTAACATAAAATTTCCCCTTATTGCCATATATGAGTAATTAGCAATGAGGAATAATTAGAAATGATTTAGGAATAACAAAAAGAGTTACTAGTCAACCTCAAACCTCATGGTCCACACATGAGCTAGGAATACTTTAGGTCACTTCAAGAGTTTAAATGTATAAGAATGAATACCAAGAAAACTCAGGTCAAATCAAAGGTATATTTTAAATCATTCTTTTATCTCCTAACATAAAATTTCCCCTTATTACCATATATTTATTCTTTAATGAATTTACACCATTTATTAAATGTAAAGAGTGAAATACAATCAAAACCATATGTTTTATGCTTAAACCATGCTCATGATCGTGCCACTCAATCAAAGCAAAACCCTTAAATGAACTAAAGATCAGCTTAGGCTTCCAATGACTTTCACCAACAAATCAACTCCGATGAAAACAAAATCCTTCTTTAAGAAAGATAAAGACAGACAGATTAGCTAAGTAAATATGCCCTATATGAGAAGATAGAGCGAAACCTAATCAAAGTCAAACAATAGAGGAGGAAATCCATGAACTTTCAAAACTCCATTACCTATGCTTGCATAAAGCCTTCAAGTAATCAAACATAAAATCAAAAACATACAAAATGAGTGAATCATTAAAACTCCCTAAATCCTCTACTTATATTTAGACCAACATGGTAAGAACCCGAAGAGGCCATTCAAAGCAACAGGGAAATGGATGACATGGGAAAGAAACACCCAAAAGAGAGCTTCTATTTGGGACTCTATAACTGTGGCATCAGCCCTCCAATTGAAAGACTGACTGTTCAAATTGCAGATCAGAATTCCCAGACCAAAAATCAGCTCGATCCAATGGTTAACAACTGTAGATCGAACGAATTCCCAAACTATGCACTATAACCCAACCGAAGCACCTCACTGCATTTTTCTTCCCCATTCTTCTAGTGTTCTCAAGGCTTAAGTTTGCAAAACTAAAATGAAATCCATCCTAAAGCACACCAAGAAGCTTGAAAATCTAACAAAGCTCTTCTCCCCCCTTCAAGGTCGGCAAGTATGGAAGAAAATATCCAAGAGTGGTCTTCCCATGTCTGTTTTATTTGATGAAGACACACTTCCCCTAAATAGCACATGTGCTCATTTTCTATGGGCCCACATGGCTTGCTCAATGTATCAAGACCTCTATTGATTTCAGTCCCAAAAATATCTTAATTTCCTTTACTTTATTTCCACCATGTCAAATTCACCTCTTCTAATACCATTTACACTGGTTGACCCACGCTCACATCTTAATAACCATCCACAGTATCCCAATTCTCCAATACTTTATCACTATGAAATCTTAAAATCACTCCCATAAGGTTTGAATTTTAGCCTAATTAATCCCTAAACTAAGGGGTTTTACAAGTAAGTCCTAAGCTCATATGGGAGTCAATGGTTCTTTCTCTGGCATGTAGCATTTCACCATAATTGAATTTGAATACCATTCCACTTGCAGTATGGTTCCTAAAGTGTTAGCTATTTACCCTTTAGTCCATCTCTACGCAATTTAGCATTAATCACTATCCTAATCCACTCCTCCAAATTCATGCATAAGTACTTTGTGCACTTGATAACTGAGGACTTTACTTCAGTTGTTGGGTGAAACTAATGTGATTGACTGAACATTCTACACTCACTTTAAGTACTTTTGTATAATGAATCAATAAATTATTGAACCATATATATATATATATAACATGTACAAGATGTTTTATTGATTGCATTAGAGAGCAATCTGATTGTTTTTCCATTAGATTTTAAGATGCAAAATGCGTCTACTTTTGACTCAATTGTTAATAAAAAGAACAGTTATGGGTTAAATATTGTTGGCCCAGATGATGCAACCCAAGAGAGGGATGAATTGGGTTTTTAAAAACTCATGCAATTTTTGTGTGTAAATTAATGAACAAGTGCATGTAACCACAAATGAATAAATTAAAGTACGGAAATTAAAAAGAGTAAGGGAGAAAAAAGCTCAAATATGATGATTTATAGTGGTCTGGTCACAACTTGTATCTAGTCCATTCCTCAAGCTGCCTATTGAAGGGTTTGTTTTGGATTCAAAGTCTCTCCTCAAACTTCTGGTTGTAAAGGCAACTGTACACTAACTTTATTGGCTCTATCCACCTTTAACAACTCAACCCCTTATTTCAATCTCTCACAAACGTAATCCTAACTAAAAGGATGGTTCTTTAGATCTAATAAGGATTCCCCCAACATTCTCTCACTTTTTTAATGAAAGGGAAAAAAAACAAGATTGATCACTTAGTTGATTGAGTAGGAAAGATAAAGCACTAAAAGAAGGTTGAATACTTGAACTCTTTTTCTCAAGTTTACACTAAGGTTCTGCTCTTGTGTTGCTGCCTTCTCCAAAGCTCCTTTCTAAACCCTCATGCTTAGATCTAAGTCAAACTAGCCGATATAGCCCAGAATGCAAAGCCTTCAATTTTATTTAATTTCAAGATTCCACAAAGGTTCTGGAACTTATTGACATTGTCTAAAACTTTGTTACTTTTCTTCCAATCGTGAAGAGGGTCAATGAACAAAAATGTTCTGGAACAATGTAAAAAGTTCTAGAACTTAATATAATCAATTTTGAGGGTTTTGGAACTCATGATCACGTGTTGAAACTTTACAAATCTCCCTTATAAACTATGAAGGTTAGTTACTAAAAATGATTTGGAACTTTAAAGCAAGTTATGGAACTTTACAATAATTTCAAATCTGTGATTTGGAAAATCTTCATACGAGGAAACTTAGCCATTAAATGAAAAGTCTTGGATTTTCAAATTTTGAAAATGCCATTGGGTGAGATCATCATTTTGGTTCCTTGAAAAAGGAAAATGAAAAATTCACGAGGAGTTTGTTTCCAAAAAATGATTGTGAAAAGCTTTTAAGACTAGCATTAGAGAGATATACAGAAATAAAAGCATTTTTAAATAAATTGTGAGTGTTTTGTTTCATATTTCCATTTTGATTTGTAATAAACAAAATTAAGAACAAGAAATATTTTTCATGTTAGTTTAATATTTAACAACAGTTTTTTGCAATTCAAATATCAAAAGCATGTTCCAGATTTCAGGAGTGAGTAAAATTTCTGATGTAAGCAAATTCAACTAGGTTTTCTAGATTTGTTTGCGTTAGCAAGCCTTTGCTTATTTTCTCTTCAAGAGTGATCATGAGTTATTGAATATTTACTAGTCTTGTTAGTTAATTAATAAAAAGACTACAAGCAAACTTTTGCTCTTTTTAAGAAATTGATGAAACCATTGGTTGTGATGCAGCAAGACCAATTTGAACGCCTCTTGCCAACATTCATCCAAGTGATACATTTGACAGACCAAGAAGAAACTGAATATTGGGCTGTTGTATCTGCTGTCTTTGAAGGCAGACCAGTTGAATCTGTTGCATCTAGTCCCAGCTTGACCTCCATTGCTTCAAAATCAATAGAAGCTAGCATCAATCGCAAGGTCCGTCTACAATACTGAAGTCCATTAATACTAGTAGGCAGGGACTTTCATTTTTCCTTTTTCTATTATTTTATTTTATTTCATTTTTTTGCTTTTTCATCTTATTGACGCACACCACGCAGACTTATAGTTTAAAAGCTTCAACTGATTGGCATGCTGGTATGCCATTTTTATGCAATCATCTCAACATTCCTAAATAATTCTGCAGGCATTGCTACTAGTTGCAAATGCTTCTTTTCCTTGTGATCATAATATTTCCTAGTCAAAGTTGCAGGGTTATATGATACGCTGAAACATGCATATCTGTTGTGACTTTGTGTAACACTTGACTTCTAATGTGATATACCGATATTAAATTCTGTTCGTTAACTTGCTACTAGGTGCGTTTATTGAGGACAATGCTGCAGTGGGAAGAACGACTATGCTCTGGATCCAGTTTTCGTCAACTGGAGGGTGCTGTTAAATCTTGCCTTGGTCCTGATTACGTTCCTCGTGGAGAAGTTGTGATTGTATGCTGGCCTCATGGTGAGATAATGAGATTGAGAACCGGTAGCACTGCTGCAGATGCTGCAAGGAGAGTAGGACTCGAAGGAAAGGTGGTTCTGGTAAATGGTCAGCTGGTGTTACCCAACACAAAGCTCAAAGATGGTGATGTGATTGAAGTAAAACTGTAAATGAGTACAACGTGTACATAGAAGGGTAAATATGATATTATTGTGCCATTAAATTATTGCATATGATAGAAAAACTAAGTGTGATGGGATGAAATGGAAAGTAGTTCTGATTTTCGAGGAAACTCATCCCAATTATCTTATTAGAGCAGTGCTAGGGACACTCGCCCCCTAGCACTCGCCCGGACACGCTCCCTTTGAAAGATGTCATGTGGTGAAAAGTGGGTTATACCTTCTAGAAGCCCTTTAATTTACAATCCTTAAGGCTTTTAGCCCTCCAAGTTATAAGTTGAAGTTTGTCACCCCTCAGCTCACCCCTTAGCTTACTGGATACCAATGTTTTAGCCCTTTGATCGAGCCTTTTGATTTTGACCGTTACTAGAATTGTTACTTTAAGTTTCATCTTTATGACACTTTAATCCTTAGACTTAAATTTGTTAGGGTTTTTATTCTTATCTTGATAAATTTTTTAATTTTTCTAGAGCTGTTGCTCTACATATTTTATAGACATCTATCCCATATGGAAAGGTGATAAAATTTTACAATTTTTATAATTTTTTAGCTTGGACATAATTTTTACTTGTATGCTACAAACTTGATTTTGAATACATGGATACCATTTTGTTGTGAAATGATATGGTATGGGTGGGTTTTATTCTTTTATGCAAAAGCCATATAAATTGTGATAAAAATTTATATTTTTTTATTGTTTTTTAGTTTTAACCTAATTTATCACATAAATAATAGAAAACTGATTTTGATTGTGAGGATTGAATTTCATCGTGAAATTATGTCGGTTGTTTGAGTTTTTACCTTCACACAAGACAATGTAAAATGGTAATAAAAGCTTACAATTTTTAAGACATTTTAATTTTGACCTAATGTCTTCCATACGTAGTAATGACAACATTTTGAGTGAGTAAATCAAAATTTTCTTGTAAAAAATGTCGTTTGCATAGTCTTTCCCCAAAATCCTTCTCTTGGTTGCCACAAGGCAAAACAACGCAAGTGTGTCACTTGTTTTATTCAAACTAAGAAAGTTGGATTTTCTTGATGACCCTCTTTTTCCAAGTAGTTGACCTTCATGTGGGATGGTTGAAAGAACGTCAATTAAATGTTAAAGATGCACCTTAGATTAGATCAGATGATGCTGCAAGAAGGCAAGATGCTTCCCTATAAACTAAGTTACAAACTTGCCTTGAACAGATTTAAAGACTTCTCACATCTAGGATCATAATGAAATTTGATAGTTAAATAAAGCAAGAAAGAAAAAGAAGGCTTGTAGAAAATACAAGTGCATTGTAGAATTGGAAGGCAAATTTAGTTTAAAGTGAGCTATAGATTTCAACATAGCAAGTAAATCTAAGTAAGTAACTATTGGCAGAATTTGACTATCTACTTGCAGACTTAACTTGCAAAAATGCAAATTGAGTATTTTAAAGATAAAATAAAGTTTTGCAACATAAGTAACGAGATTGTATTAATTATAATAGAGTCTATTTATAAAACTGAAATTGATTGCATTGATAAAATTGAAATATGTTGACAGAACTATTGATCTAAAAGAGAACCTATTAAGGCAAAAGGATATATTTCACATAAAATAATTAAAACCTAAAACTAAAGAGTTTGAGAGTTGATCTCATAGCCTATAAGCTAAATTATAGCTTGACTAAGGCATTTTGCAAAGTAGATCGTATAGTTTTTTATTGAAAAGGACAGGCTTCGTTTAAATGTATTGCTTCTTTACAATTATAACTGATGAATCCGCCATTTTAACCACCCACAACTTAGCCACAAATTAATGGTTAAAATTGTTTGTTTTGATTGGACACGTCTATAGCAAACTTAGTCAATAACTGCTCCATAATTGCCCATCGGTCCACCACTTCAATAGATTAGCCTTTCACATCTCCTATTTGCTAAATTTGGCTAGTAACCTCCCCTAAAATCAAGCCCTTATCTCCACTAAAATCAACTAATTTCAAATTATTAAGAGATAGTTACCAATAACTACATATATGTCATTTCATGTGATAGTTATTAGAAAAATCTGTCATACTTCAAATCACAACAAAATTAAGTTTGATGAAAATAATTATAAAATTTCATATAAATACTCAATAGGTCTTGTTAAAGAATTTAAAGTAAGAGTCTAATATTTTTAATTACAAAATGAGTGATTAAAATAATAAAATTATAAGGTGAATAGTTGAAACCTATAAAGTATGGGATAGCTAGAATTCATGGGAAGGCTAGCGATGCATCGTCAGCTGGGTTTCCAGTGCAAGATTTGCTGCCAGCATGCGCGATGCATACTAATTTAGATTTGGCCTACTCCTATATGCCCAGATGATAAGTCCATAGACAACTGTTTGTGGAAGAGAAGGCAGTCTGGCTCTGCATTAAATTCCACAATGCGTCATCGTGTAGCAGAGCATATTCAGCTAACCCGTTCTTCCTCTGTTTATGAAAATCCGATACTGGGGTCCCTTATCCAAGAAAAAATTTATATTACTGTTCTCGCATGTTCAGGAACGAACCTGTTGCCTCCTTTGAGCGGGATATTTTATACAGCAAAGCAGTAATGAAGTCAAAATAAGAAAAGGCCCAGTCAGCCCCCTAAGCAAGGTTGCAAATTGGGATCAGTCGTGTTGGATTTTGGTTACAATTTAAATTGAATTAGTAGTTGCTTACTACATTCAGTTTTTCATTTTTGTAATTATGAAGTAAATTAAACTATCAATAATTAATTTTAGAATTTTTACTTATACTTTTATTAAATATATTTGCATTAGTTTCAGTATAATAAAATATGTTGTTTTTCTTTTTATACCCAATTTGTTACTGCTGTAATAATTAATTCTCTACATCCATAAAAAAAATGTTTTTTTTCCAAGAAATGATTAAATTATGGAAAATTCAGTACGTAACCATAAAAAGTTTCAAGGTAAAACTTCCAATTCAATGTTGGTTTTGATAATAGCTCAACAATTAAGGGACGAGTTTTTTGTTGCACAGCATTGTGGATTAAAAGCTTGATTGGATTCATTGCCTAAAAACGAGCAGCATCGAGAAATCTTTTGCTGTCCTCCAGTTGATATGGAGTTGAAATGTAATACAGATGCTGTTGTATCTTTGCAGCTTTCACAAGTAGTGATCAGGGCTGTATGTCGAGATGGGGATGGGGTTTTCATTCCTATATTCTTCTAAACAAGCAGTTGATTGGGTTTTAGTAGCAAAGGCATTACCTCTTGGAGCTGGTGTAGGAATGGCACTTTTGTTAGGAGTGCGCAAGGCAATTTTTGAGTTTGATAATCGAGCTTTGTTTCAGATAGTGACGAAAAAAATGGCAGTGCAATGGCAGATTGATCAATCGCTGATTCAATCCATAGGCCTACTTTCTTGTAATTTTGAATCTTCTCAGTTCTGTATATATCTAGGCAAGCAAACAAAGTAGCTACCTGGGGTCAAATTTACACTTAAGGGCCAATGTCCATCGTATTGGGTGCATTATCCTCCAAATCTGGTGTAATTATTGTACTCGGATGTAAATCATCACAATATAACTCAATTTCTAGTACTCTTAAAAAAAATATATATATATCAACTATAATAAAAAAAATTTAACAAAACATTGTTTCTCTCAGATTCTCGGTTTGACTAACCCTAATTCATGGGTTATTTCGTCTTTCAACTTCCTTATTCAAGGTAAACTACTGTAAAAGCGATGCGCCTTGAAATAAAATTTTTCCCATAGGGTTGACCTAGACACGGATAAGTTATCTTCATTAATTTTATTAGGTTGCGAACCATTTGGCCCACCCCGTACAATTAATAGAATTACGTCATTGATTCAACTGAATCGATACGTCAATCAACTGTTACTCATGTAATGATAACAAATTAGTAATTATTTATCAACTACAAATACAATACATAAAATCTCACCTTAGTTAAGCTTCTGATGCAGCATCAAGCACGTTCCCACAATGTTTGCAGCGCACTGGGCATGTTCCCCACATTTTCCCCCTCATTTTCCGAAGGGTCGTCGGAGTTCGCAACCACCGGTGACTGGCCACCTGCAGCAATGGCTCGGTGGTGGGCGAAGCTCTTAATCGGTTCAATGCTTGCATGGCAGTGTGGTTGACAAATTTTTCACAATTATTGGAGAAATAGTTAGTTAGTTACAAAAGTTAATAAAATTACAGTTACATATTATAAGAGTGGCAATTTACCTCGATCCTTGTAGGGCTCCATGAGGATCTCAGTTACGAGGACAACACGGGGATGGAGGTCATTTTCCTTTCGTAAAATTT